CATACTGCTTATTGCAGTTCTATTTCAGTGATATTTTGATTTATTGTCATTTACCATGAAGTCAGACACTGACTTCTGTGGAAGATACGGCAGAGATGACAGGGGGCCTATGCACACTGCAAGGCCATGACAGTTCGAATTAACATGCCTTTATTTGCCCCAGTGTTTGCATTGTCACACCCTCTGCATTTCACCTATCAACTTGACTAAAAACATGTAGGAAAGCCATGAATGGGGAATAAAGATGGTTAGAAGGAGCAGCAGAAATAAGGGCTAGGAGAAACGTAAACTTATGGCTTCACAGTGGTGGTACTACTCAGGAACTCCAGGAAAGCAGAGAAGATGCTGAAGTAAGCATATGAAGTAGAAGAAATTATATTAATTAAGGCAACAGGGATAAAGTGGGTTGTTCTGCTGGATAAAGCGGGGGGAAAAAAAGGCTCTGAAATAAAGCATGTAGAAAATGTCATTAGTTTCTCAGCAATTAGGAAAAAAGAAGTAGAAATTAGCAAAGGGGAGGACTAAAGATAAATGAAAAAAGCTTATGCAACCAGTAAACACAGCTACTGTATTGAACATATTGTTCCAAACATTTTTCAGCCTCTGTTCTCCCTGTGCAGTAATTTCATATAAAAATAGAATGCATCACCCTCTTAAACACTGCAATACCTTCTCATTTGTAAGAAAAGCAAATAATCCACCATCAGAAGAAAAAAACCCTCTCATTACCTACTGGTGAGGTGGCTCAGCTGTGGCAGGTTGGTCACCCTAAGTTTGTTTAGTCTTCCTCAAAGCAAACAGCAAAACCACTTTTTTTTTTTTTTTTTTTAAATCTGGCTTGTGACAGCTGCTTGCCTATTTATAGCTGATGAAGTTCGTACAGAAAGCCACAGTCAGTGCTCTCTTAATCTTTCAGTTGGCAAAGTGCTGTTTACCTTGCATGGGCTCAGCATTCCTTGTTTCCATAAGGAGGTTAATTAGGATGCACGTTCACCCAACAGAAGCAACGAATGGCATGGTAAATAGTGGTTGGTAGAGCAGTCTGAAGCATTTCATTACCAGCGACTTATTATAATCATTGTAATTAAAAAAGATAAAAGGTCAGCCAGGACAGTAACATACAACAGGGGTTTGCTGCTCACCAGATAATTTGCTTTGAGATTGATGTTGCCACACCATTCACAGTCACATCAATACTCTAAGAAAAAGCTCCTTTTGTATCAGCCTTAAAATGATCCAATTATCATATTTTAACTCAGGTCATTTGAGATGATTCAAATGGAATTATCAATGTGCATATTTTCAGTACTTGCATTTAACTGGCCTGTGGTTTCACCTGCTCTGGTGAATTCTGGCAGCATAAAGATGCACCAGTCATCTATTCCTGTAATGTTTTAAACAATCTGCTGGATCTTGGGACAAGCAGGTGAGCTGTGAGAATAACAGCAAAAATGACAGTGGTACAGAAAAGAAATCATTGCCTGTAAGGAGTTTACATCACCACAGGTGCGCTGTCTCGTCACTTGGCACTGCTATGGGCCCATGCCTTCTAAAACAAATCACATTTTTCTCATGTGTTGAAGCTTTTCTTAAAGCTCTGAAGTCAGAGATGCCCTCAAGGCAGCAGACCTACCTGAGGCAAGCTCTGAAACTTTAAAATTTTCAGGAAACTTAAAAATTCAGCTTGGTATTAACAGCGCCTTCCTCACTGCATTTCATATGTAAAGCTCTTATAAGGTTCATTCTCACAGCAACATTCAAACTGTTTTCAGATACACATATGGCAACTCATATCTATTTATCCAAAAGCAATCACACTATGTATTCCCACTTCCTTTTTATTTACCAAAAGTAGTGATGGATTTCTTTATTTATTGATTATAATTCCTTAGTAATTTAAAACTGGTAACATACCAAGCACATCCTTTGCGCAACTCACTGACTTAAGTGTTACACCAAAACCTTTAATTCCAAAAGGGCTACAGGGCCTTACAGAGATAAATCAAACTATTATATTATTTCTTGACCAAATTCCTGGTTATTTGTGGGAATTGGTCTGCCTTTTTTACTTCCCAAGCACTCCAAAGTAAGCTCAGAGAATTCAGTACCTTAGAGCACCAGACACAAGTTTCTCAACTCAATTATTTTTTATTTTAACACATTTCTGAAAATATAATCATTATAAGAGTTTCTTGGAGGCATATCTGCTATTAATTATATCCACTAAAGCTACTACTGGCATGAAAAAAATACAGGCCACCATGTGGATAGAAAAGGGAAATTGCAATTTAAACAATGGAACACAGCACACTGAAGGTGTGGATGAACTGACCATGAGAAAGGTGCCTTGGCATCTACTGCTTTGCAAAAAAAATCCCATCAAAGGGGGAGTAATCATCATCAGCTACGTTTGCCTTGTAGCCACATAATCTGCCAGTTAGTTCACACAGAGAATGATGCATTTGCCAAATGGCACCGCCATTGGGTTAATCTGATCACAGAGAAAGGGCTTGATCAGCCTCAACTGGACCCTGATCCACTTTACTGCAGGTGTAACTTGCAGTGGGTAATTTTCTTAGTAGAGACTTCGCTAGTTTCTTAGGGCTGAATTCTCAGCTGTAATCTCAGTATCTAAGTAAGTGAGCAAAGGCTATGATAATGAGTAGATCAAACAGCACTAACATGTAGCTGGGACAGGGCAAATATTGCCAGACCTTGATGTTGCAGAACACATCAGTTATTGTCAAATCTCCTTGGGCACTTTCACAACCAAAGGATGAGATAAGAAATCTTGAAATCTTTTTATTGTGGTTCTCCCTGTCCTGTGGATAACATGACCTTCCAAAGAGCCAAACAACATGTATTCTAGATTTGGCACAGTCTGAAAGTTAGGAAGCTTTGCATTACAATGACATGTGTGATCAGAATGGTGTACATTTCTTCGTGCCAGCTGTATTTGCTCGACTTTTTAACTTTCTAAAACATGTCAAAAATAGCTAGTCACTGAGGCATCTGTACCAGCTGAGGCAGCAGGACTAATTCACAGAATGAATTTGAGCTACTGGGAGGTGTCATATTGCACATCTTGACAGAGGCTTTATTCACTGCATTTAACTAGATATTCCAAACTTGATAGAATTATTAAGAACCTAAATCTTGAGATTACCCACAGCTCTATGGAAATGAATCAGCTTATTAATGCAAACACATAATAGAATGTGAGCTAAGACAGAGAAATATCAAGTCTCTGAAAGCTAATAGAGAGCCAAAGGGTGACCTTGATCACAAGATTCTGCCTGCAATCCATGTTCTGGGTTCAGTTCCTGCCTCAACTTCATACTTCCTGTGTGGGCTCTGCCTGTGCCTTGCTTGCCTATTAAGGAGATGGTACATCTGCAGTAAGGTTTGTCTCCCAACAAGAGCATGTCAAACACTTAACAGCAGCATTCTGCAGTTAACAGAAAAGTCAGTGCTGCACAATGCAGATAATGAGCAACCACCTAAGTCACAACATAGGCAATATTTCTGTAATGACAGGCATCTTTTCTTCCTGAATGTGTTTGCACTGCCCAGAGCCTTGGGGCATGTATATTTATCTACATAAAAGGACTTTGTTTTGTTTTTTTTTTTATGTTTGTGCTTTTGTTTGGTGGGGCTTTGGGTGTTAGTGGTTTTTTTGGGGGGTTGTTTTGTTTTTTGTTTTTTTTAACACCAACATATTTCACTTTATCTGTGTTTGAGACAGGGCAAGTTGGGTTTGGCTGACAGCTGTCAGGCTCCTGCAGCCAGCAATAAACACTACTCTGCTACCAGTTTTTTATTTTAGTTTTTAAAATTATGACTGTTTTTGAGGGAAGACTATTTGTACATCCTGAAAAGATTTCGTGTAAACATTACTTAAGAGCATATTACTTGCTTCCTAAAATCATTAATAAGGAAATCATTCTTGCAGAACACACAAGCCCCGGCAAACCAAACAGGTGCCCCATAAAGGAGATTTCATACCATTGTCATGCACTTAATACAGTCTAGAAATATTTTTCATACACTAAGACTACAACTTCAGCTCCTGGTAACATAACTTCTCAGTAACTGAAAAGGCAAAATAAATTTTCATTCCCCTTGCACCCTTCTTAAACTTTTCTGCAGTTACTAATGTGCAACAAATTTGCATGTGTCTTGATTTTCACATCTTTTTTTTTTCTCATTAGTAGTTAAATACTATAGTTCCAAGCCAGATGGGGAGCTAGGCAACTTCTGAATATTTAAGGTATTTGTGGTACAACATAACACTAGATTGTGTGTCTTAGTCTCTCTGTGATGTAAAAATTGTTTCAAAGGATTAAGCTTAATGTATAGAAAAAAATTCTAGTGATTCACATCAGAGATCAAAATGAATACCTCATCTGTATTCACTTATTTTTGTAATGCATTAGACTTTGCATTTACAGGATGAACTAGTATTCAGAGTGCTTAAGTGTATTTTCTGAGATATCTGAATAACTTTGTTCATTACATATATCACATATTTATGGAAAGAAAATAACCTGCTAATCTTGAATTTATTTTGAGTCTATATTATATTTTCATGACGTATGTTCACTAACCAGTCTTATTTTAAATTGGAATCTTGTAATTGAAAGAAGCGTTAGATTTCATACATGTTGAAAAGAATTAGACAGTGTTCAGTCAATTCCTAACATTCTCACTGCTGTTTTATTCTGCAAAGTGTATATTAAAACAACAATTATCATAGAATCATAGAATGGTTAGGGTTGGAAAGGACCTTAAGATCATATAGTTCCAACGCCCCTGCCATGGGCAGGAATGCCAGTGATTGAGATTGTTTGAGAAGACACTTGAAGATGGCTTATTTTTAAATTCAAAAACATTGACGCATTGTGTTATACACAATGAAAAGAGCTTGACATTTTATTTAAACTTTTTAAAAATAAAATCCCTGTCATGAACAATATTTTCTTCTTCTTTTCCCCTCCTAGGAGTGAACTTCGTATTTTCTCCTTGAAGCTAGGTTACAGCTCAAAAGGTCAAGATGATTCCAAATTATTCCACTGAAGAAACCATTAAAAGAATCCATGTTGACTGTCCCGTTTCAGGAAGGCACAGTTATATCTACATTATGGTTCCAACTGTTTACAGCATCATCTTTATCATAGGCATATTTGGGAATAGCCTGGTCGTTATTGTCATTTACTGCTACATGAAATTAAAAACAGTAGCCAGCATCTTTCTTCTAAACCTGGCACTGGCTGACTTGTGTTTTCTCATAACTCTGCCACTCTGGGCAGCCTACACGGCCATGGAGTACCAGTGGCCTTTTGGCAACTGTTTATGCAAGTTAGCATCAGCTGGGATAAGTTTCAACCTGTACGCCAGTGTGTTCCTCCTCACATGCCTTAGTATTGACCGGTACCTGGCCATAGTACATCCAGTGAAGTCCCGAATTCGACGTACTATGTTTGTTGCCAGAATGACTTGCATTGCCATCTGGCTTCTCGCTGGTGTGGCCAGTTTGCCCGTCATCATTCACCGTAATATATTCTTTGCTGAGAACTTGAATATGACAGTCTGCGGTTTTCGGTATGACAACAATAACACAACGCTCCGGGTTGGGTTAGGCTTATCCAAAAATCTGCTGGGCTTTTTGATTCCTTTTCTGATCATATTAACAAGCTACACCTTAATTTGGAAGACCCTGAAGAAAGCATATCAAATTCAAAAAAACAAGACTAGAAATGATGATATTTTTAAGATGATTGTGGCAATAGTATTTTTCTTCTTCTTTTCCTGGATTCCTCATCAAGTGTTCACTTTTCTGGATGTATTAATTCAATTACATGTAATAACAGACTGCAAAATCACTGATATTGTGGATACGGCTATGCCCTTCACCATTTGCATCGCTTACTTTAATAACTGTTTGAATCCATTTTTTTATGTTTTTTTTGGAAAAAACTTTAAAAAATACTTCCTTCAGCTAATAAAATACATTCCACCAAATGTCAGCGCACATCCAAGCCTAACAACAAAAATGAGCTCCCTCTCATATCGGCCACCAGAAAATATACGCTTACACACTAAAAAGACTGCTGGGTCTTTTGACACTGAATGATGTGTCCTGCAATATGCTGGTTTTGAACAACCTGGTGAACGAAGCAGCAAGAATGACAAAATTCATCTGCAGTCCTGAACATCACAGCTTACTGCTCATTATGGAAACATTAGATCACCTCAGGGAAATCATACTGTAAAGATTTAGCAGTGGCCTTTTATTTCACATTGTGAAGAGGACTGCTGGATTCTCATTTTGTTTTTCTTTACTGAAAGCAACATTAATGGTGGAAAGGCACATCACAGTTTCTGCCAGCATCCTGCCATTTACTCAGAACTACAGACAAAGGGTAGAGAAAACTCCTAACTTAAGTTCAGAGGTCTTTTTTAAAGAAAAAGCTTGTATAAGTTACATGAATTATGAAGGACCTCTTTTGCGCTGAGATGAGCTATTCTGAATTTTGTTCAAGGAGCTGATGGAGCTACACTGCTTGTTTTGTTGTTTTTTGGTTTTGTTTTTGTTTTTTTTAATGACGTCATATTGTCATATTTATAATGTATTTTCAAATATATGCTATATAGAGAGGCCAAATTTTAAACTCAAAAGGAAACTTAAGGTCCTTGAAATTAGTCTCATTCTGATTTATGCTACTATTTTAAATTTTAAAATGGCAAATTTTTTCATAATATATGCAATAAAATGCAGATTTATTTATTAAATATAGATGAAATATATTTTTAAACCTATATTCCTATTTGGTTCTCAACCATTGCTTCATAAATGTACATCTATATCCCAGTGAGTATTTTTATAGCAGTATAAAAGTATATATATACACACACACAAAAGAAACAGGGTTCACTCAGTCTTTCTTCGTGATATGACACACTGACTTTGAAGAACATCACTTATGGAGGTGGTTGACTCCATAGTCTTAGACTAAAAGTAAAATTCTGTATTTGAAAAGGATTTCTGGGACAGAGGTGATCAGAAAACAAAGCTGTGTTTGTGTAATAACCAGTGCACTCAGCAAGAGAAATTACCATCTATTCAGTTTTTCACATTCCTGGACATTAAATAAATTCACGTTCTGATAAGCAAAAGCGTGACAATGCTTATATTACAGTTTAACTAATAATGCTTTTAGTTACATCACAAAACACTTGAGACCAAACTTTACTCTTGATTTCTAAAGAATTTCTCTTCATTTATATAACTAAGCCTAGAATATTTCTCCCTGTAGAATTTTTTCTTATGTATAGGAACAAATTCATACTTATACTAGCATAAATCGGAACAAAGGTCTGGATCAAACTTCCCGTACAAATGAGGGAGGAAGGGCAATAAACACTGTAGGAAGTTTGAATTAATAATATCTCTCATGTCCTTTTTATCTCAGATAATGAATTCCAGATTCTTAATTCACACTCTTTTATTGTCTTCAAAGATAAACGAGTTCATAAATACTTTCTGACATAACAAAACTGAAGAAAAATTCTAAAGCTTTATATATCATGAATATAACTGCATGACCCTTCACAATTTGCAATATTTACAATCTTCAAAATTACACTTCTAATGCAGTTTTTTCTCAAGTACCGAGTGGCTGGATTATCCATATTGTCCAGTTATCAGTCTCTTGCATACACACAAATATTTTTAATTATTTTTATACTTTAGAAAATTATTTAAAGAAAACCAACGAAAAAGTTATGTAATTTAATACTTTTTAAGAAAAAAATGGGACTACAGCCAGATCCAGGAACCCTGTGGCTCTTCTGCTTTTTCATTCACTTTAAGACAAATTTCTTCAGTTTTGCCTTTGTTCTTCCAGCTGCAAAATGGGAACAATTTCTACTTACATGTCACAAGGTGCTGGGAGGAATCACTAAAACTTCTAAAGCTGCATATTTTCAAAAAAACCTCTATTCTTTAAGATTTAAGTTAATTTAATTGCAAGCTAGTCTCTCTAAATTTGAAACCTGAATGTGTCATTTAAAGACACAGTTAAATCATTATATAGAATAATTTATATTTAGCCTATATCCTTATAAGTGAGACAGCCATTGGTTAAAAATGAATATGGCAGTAATCCCATGCATTATAAATAGCATCCAGAGCAGTACCACTGCCTCACCACTTGGTGAGCTGATGAAGTATTGGCAGAGCTTGCCATTTATCTGTATGATATTTTGGTCGTGTACACACCAGGAACTTCCCCTGGAGGAAGTAGCTCTGTCTCAGACATAATTCAGTGTGCTGTGCTTGCCACCTGCTGGATGCAGCCACAAATATGTTTTTCATCTCAAAAGTTGTTACAGGAAGAGACAGCAGTATTTCCCTGCCTCCTGATGGATCTGGAGATCCTTACCTGTGGGCAGATCATGTAGAAACAAAATACAAACTTGTCCATCTGGAAGGCAGTTAACTTCTTTGACAGGGGTTAGACAAGCATTTCCTCATCATTTTCTCATCCCTTTGGTCACCAAAATCCAGTGTCCCCAATGATCACAAAAGGTAGCTCATTTGCGAAACATTGATTACATTACTACAAGAGCCATCCCCAAGAGAAAAATATATATGTATTAAAAAAATCAAAATCAAAGCATATTTGCATGGGTGATAACTGAGAAATACTTAGCTGAAAGGACACATTTATCACCAAGAAGAAAAATAAGCAGAATCAGTAGTGACTCTGAACAATAAAGATGACAGAGAAAAAACGAGAAGCCATTGGCTAATGATTTTGATCATTTCAGGCTAGATCCTGCATTTTTAAGAGCCTGTGTATCCTGGGCTGCTGGTGGCACCCGTGCATACCTGGGCCACCGAGAAAAGCACAAGCATGCACATTTGGCTGTGTTGCTGCAGGAAAGGTAGGAAGGACTTACAGCTGGTGTGCTTTGAAGGCAAGACTGACCTTGAATTGATAAGCAAAGAAAGTGGAGGGCAAAGCTGCCATTAAATAATAGTAGGAAATTTTTGTTCTTCTAAAGGATAGGAAAATGGTCATCAGCTGACCAAATATGCTGAATCCTGGTTTAGTGTTTCCTTAAAGGAAAAAAGAATAGACATACCAATAGATACAGAGATGAAACTCTCCAGCAACTATATCTGGCGAGCAGCAGAGAGTAAACTCTTTTGGAGCAGAGAGTTACTGCATACAGCCACATCCTGCAGTTTCAGGCATCCCCATGAAGCCCCAAACTGAGAGCTAGCTGGAAAGTCCCCATTTCCCTCAGCACACCCACACCATTTCCATCATGCACCTAGCTGCAGCCAGTACAGGTCTTCAGAAATACCTTGATGCTGAGCCTTAAGGTTCCCTGCCCATATACGCTGAAAATACCATGTTGGAAAGCTATGCATGGGGCATGCAAAGCAGCAGCATGACAGAGCGCACAATCTGGCCTTTGTTGCAGACCTTTGACTCTATGGCGCCAGTGAGGGTCAGGTAAGAGACGGCCAGGACATTCTTTGGTGTAAGAACCTACTCCTTGCCAACAGAGGAGGACAGAATAAGATTTGGTTCTGTATGACTGCCATGTGGGGGGAACTGTGGGCTAAGCCCTCTTAATTTAAGATCAAAATAAGAACTAGGTATATATATTTAAGAACAAACTCCCACTATCTTAAAGAACACAAAGTTAAGATGCGATAGTATGTTGTTATTTTTGAAAGGAGCATCCAAAATACTTTTCATTCTTGGGATGACCAAAGTAAAATACTTGGCAAACTCTTAGTCTGTCCCTGTGCACCCCTATTGCAAAGAACTCAATTAAAGGAGACAGCATACAGCCCTAAATACAGGCATCACAACTCTTGTCCTTTCACAATTATGTTCCGTTGACTTGTTTAAATGAATACTTTCTTTCTGCTGGCAGAATAATTACTAAATCAACATTATGTTTGACATGCATAATATTTATTTCTATTTATTGTGTGGTAATATTTTATGTGACTCATGTTTATGTTTATATGACTCATACTCTGCTCTCTGCTTCTTGCCTATTACACACCTATCCTAAGTCATTCTGTATAATCTGCACTGGGCAGCCCAAATTCCAACAAAACCGTTAGAGATACAGTAGGGATTAATTTGCCTTCTCATGTTAACAATCTCCTCATGCTTACATTGTTAATCAAGAACTTGCAGATTAAGTACGAGGCCAAAAGTCCTTTACTTTACCAGAATTACTATTCAGGCGATGGTTTTTATCATCTTATGTGGCAGCAGCAGAGTACATAGTAGGATTCCCTGGTCTGGTTTAGTTTTGCTTGCATAGCTTCAGGAATGGTTTATCTTTATGACCTCCTTTTTGACTGTACTGAAGCACAGGTATTCCCAGCGAGAAGTTTGCTGTGGAAGGCGGCCAAAAGCAGGGACTTGCTGATGTGGGGAATATTTAGTGTTAAATGTAAATACTTAATTTTATTTTTGCTACACATTAAAAAAACAAACACAAACAAAAAAAAAAAAAAAAAATCCACACCACCATAACCTAAAGCAGAAGCAAAGAGAAACCCTTAAGAGCAAATCTTTCAACTAAGTACTAAAATCTTCCAAAAAGTTTTGAGAGGCTCTTAAGTTTCTTAGTAACATCCTGATCAGTTTGGAAAATACCAAACTATTCTTACCCTGCTGACAAGGTCAGGGTCTCCAGGTCTACTCTTTTACATCACATAACAGGCTTGGCCAGACCATCATCCCACCAGCTTGTACAAAGCGATGAGGCTGTTCTATCCATCGAGCCCATTTCAACAGAGACCTCACTACAAGGCTGAATTAACAAATCCTCAATGTTAATAGCAGAGCTGTCAAGCTCATTCTTACTGAGGGGTTCTGCAGGTGTGGCTGGACACTTGAGAAAGAGGTACAGATAACATTTGAGAGCAACGTTGTGTGATCTTTTTAATGGACAAGTGCCATGACCTGCAGCTTTAAAAGTATTTGGTAAATTAAGTAACAAGAACTAGATACTATTTTCTGTCAAATATTTATGTGCAGTTGTAATTTGTGAAGTAGTAAATGCTAATGTTTCCTATTTCAATAGAGCTAGTTTTATATTGCAGAATTTTACCCCTATAAGAATTTCCATTGTCTGAAGCATTACTAGAAACGTGCACGTCTTCAACAGATGTCTTTGTGAAAGCCATCTCCACTGCTGTATCAATCCACCCAAAGCAAAGAAATGTTTCTGTACTATTGTAAGTACTATGCTATTATCCATGTATCTATAGCTGTGTATCTTAGGCAATATCATCCTTACCAAAGTATTTCTATGTAATGTGGTAATATTTTATCCCACCATTCCTTTTAATCCAAAATCTAACCCAGCTGTAATACTGCAGTTCAGCAATTCACTTGTGTTTTCCAGAACTGACTGTTAATAAAATTTCCTGGGAGTGAGCATTTTAAAAATTGCTAGTTTTCTTATGTACGGGTTAGAGTTTAAAGGATAATTTAGGCTTAAGTTTTTAGAAGCTAAATTAAATTAAGGGGACAGATTTACCCAGAATATTGCATCAACTGTAGGATCACATTACAGTATGAATAGCAGCCCTGAAAAGATAGGCTCCTGCAGCTGAGTATTCAGTGTACATATATCCACTTACTTAGAATAAGCTTTGGTGTTTCTAAGCAGTGCCACGTTGTAGAGTGGCTTCAGTGGAAAGGGGATCAGGTTCCAGCACAGTAAGAGGGGATTGGTGCTCTGCCTCCCCCAACAACAGTCGAAGGCTGGGCCTAAGAAATTCTGATAGCTTACCTACTAAATAACTTACTTATTTGCTATGTATTTTAACTATTCCTAAGCTTTATATGTTGGCACTGCTGTGAGGCTAAAATCAAGCACAGGCCCTGGTGCAGAAGGTGGCATACATAAACAGAGACATACCATCTCTTGGAGCTTTATAGCCAAATCAGAAAGTGAAAAATTGTTAAATTAGGGTGGAAAGCAAAGATTGTTGTTGAAAAAATACAAAACTGTGAAGGTATTTCACACTGTCATTAAATAAAAAAAAATATATGTAGAGGGTTTTATTTAAGCAAAGAGCTAAAAAGCTTTTTAAAAGTAGAAAATACTGAAAGGTTTTACGAGCA